TTGGAATAAACTTAACCAAGGACGTTAAAGATCTCTATAATTAACATTACAAAATCTTAAAGAAAGAAATAGAAGAGATTACCAATAAATGGGAAAATCACCCATGTTCATGCATTGGAAGAATCAATATCATCAAAATGTCCATTCTCCCAAAAGCAATTTATAGAATCAATATGAAACCAATCAACATACCAAAGACATTCTTCACAGATCTGGAAAAAATGATGCTGAAATTCATATGGAGTCACAGGAGACCTTGAATAGCTAAAACAATCTTGCACAACAAAAACAAAGCAAGAGGCGTCACAATACCAAATTTCTTGACATACCACAAGGCAGTTGTAATTAAAACAGCATGGTACTGGTACAGAAACAGATGGATAGACCAATGGAACATAATTGAAACACCAGAAATCAATCCAAACATCTACAGCCAACTTATATTTGATCAAGGATCTAAAACTAATTCCTGGAGCAAGGACAGTCTATTCAATAAATGGTGCTGGGAAAACTGGATTTCCATGTGCAGAAGCATGAAGCAAGACCCCTACCTTACACCTTACACAAAAATCCACTCAACGTGGATTAAAGACCTAAATCTACGTCCTGACACCATTAAGTTATTAGAGAACATTGGAAAAACCCTTGAAGATATTGGCACAGGCAAAGAATTTCTGGAAAAGACCCGGGAGGCACAGACAGTCAAAGCCAAAATCAACTATTGGGATTGCATCAAATTGAGAAGTTTCTGTACTGCAAAAGAAACAGTCAGGAGAGTGAAGAGACAACCAACAGAATGGGAAAAAATATTTGCAAACTATGCAACAGATAAAGGGTTAATAACCAGAATCTACAAAGAGATCAAGAAACTCCACAAAAACAAAACCAACAACCCACTTAAGAGATGGGCCAAGGACTTCAATAGACATTTTTCAAAAGAGGAAATCCAAATGGCCAACAGGCACATGAAAAAATGTTCAAGGTCTCTAGCAATCAGGGAAATGCAAATCAAAAGCACAATGAGGTTTCACCTCACCCCGGTTAGAATGGCTCACATACAGAAATCTACCAACAACAGATGCTGGCGAGGATGTGGGGAAAAAGGGACACTAACCCACTGTTGGTGGGAATGCAAACTGGTCAAGCCACTATGGAAATCAGTCTGGAGATTCCTCAGAAACCTGAATATAACCCTACCGTTCGACCCAGCCATCCCACTCCTTGGAATTTACCCAAAGGAGTTTAAATTGATAAAGAAAAAAGCGGTCTGCACCCTAATGTTTATTGCAGCACAATTCACAATAGCCAAGACCTGGAACCAACCTAAATGCCCATCAATGGTAGACTGGATAAAGAAATTATGGGATATGTATTCTTTAGAGTACTATACCGCAGTAAGAAACAATGAAATCCAGTCATTTGCAACAAAATGGAGGAATCTGGAACACATCATGCTGAGTGAAGTAAGCCAGTCCCAAAGGGACAAATACCATATGTTCTCCCTGATCGGTGACAACTGACTGAACACCAAAAAGGAAACCTCCTGAAGTGAAATGGACACTATGAGAAATGGTGACTTGATCAGCATAGCCCTGACTGCTAATGGACAACTTAATACATTATCCCTCATAGTATTTTTTTTTTTGTCTGTTCTACTTAATATGACTGGTTTAATTCTGTAATTATCACACAGTTATTCTTAAGTGTTGAAAATTAACTGAAATGTGATCCCTGTTAAACATAAGAGTGGGAATAAGAGAGGGAAGAGATGTATAATTTGGGGCATGCTCGGGCTGACTTGCCCCAATTGGTAGAGTTGGAAACATACCAGGGGATTCCAATTCAATCCCATCAAGGTGGCATGTGCCAATGCCATCTCACTATTCCAAGTGATCAATTTCAGTTCACAATTGATCATAATGAAAGGACTAAGAGTCAAAGGGAGCACATAAACAAGTCTAGTATCTGCTAACACCAACCGATAGAATAAATAAAGGGGAGAGTGATCCAACATGGGAAGTGAGATACTCAGCAGACTCATAGAATGGCGGATGTCCTAAATAGCACTCTGGCCTCAGAATCAGCCCTAAAGGCACTCGGATCTGGCTGAAAAGCCCATGAGAGTATTTCAGGCATGGAAAGCCAAGACACTCTGGCAAAAAGATCTCTGTGAGTGAGATCCCAGTGGAAAGAACAGGTCTTCAAAGAGGGAGGTGCCTTTCTCTGAAGGGAGGAGAGAACCTCCACTTTGACTATGACCTTGTCTAAACAAGATAAGAGTCGGAGAACTCAAGGGGCTTCCATAGCCTTGGAAACTCATAACTGGTGCATAGGGAGATTACTGATGCCATAAACAGGAGTGTCAATTTGTAAAGTCAACAACAGGAGTCACTGTGCACTTACTCCTCATGTAGGATCTCTGTCCTTAACGTGCTGTACACTGAGGCTTAATGCTATAACGAGTACTCAAACAGTATATTTCACTTTGTGTTTCTATGGGGGTGCAAACGATTGAAATCTTTACTTAATGTACACTAAACTGATCTTCTGTAAAAAAAAAAAAAAGAAATTATCAATTCTCAACTTGACTCTCACTGGGATTAAACATGACAATAGGTCTGATCTGATTTCATCATCATTTAAAAAAAAATCATCTATTATTTTTCACTTTATGTTTCTGTGTGGGAGCAAACTGTTGAAATACTTACTTAAGGTATACTAAGCTGATCTTCTGTATATTAAGATAATCGAAAATGAATCTTGATGTGAATGGAAGGGGAGAGGGAGTGGGAAAGGGGAGGGTTGTGGGTGGGAGGGACGGTATGGGGGGGAAGCCATTGTAACACATGAGTCGTACTTTGGAAATTTATATTCATTAAATAAAAGATAAAAAAAAACAAACAAAAAAAAAAAACAAAAACAAAAACAGCATGGTACTGGTACAGAAACAGATGGATAGACCAATGGAACATAATTGAAACACCAGAAATCAATCCAAACATCTACAGCCAACTTATATTTGATCAAGGATCCAAAACCAATCCCTGGAGTAAGGACAGTCTATTCAACAAATGGTGCTGGGAAAACTGGATTTCCATGTGCAGAAGCATGAAGCAAGTCCCCTACCTCTACTTAATACTATTGCTTGACTCTTTAATTAACACACAATTATTCTTAGGTGTTTAAATTTAACTGAAAAGTGATCCCTGTTAAATATAAGAGTGGAAATGAGAGGGAAGAGATGTTCAATTTGGGACATGCTCAATCGGACTTTCCCCAAACAGTAGAGTTAGAAACGTGCCAGAGCATTCCAAATAATCAATTTCAGGTCACAATAGACCATAATGATAGGTCTAAGAATCAAAGGGATCACATAAACAAGACTAGTGTCTGATAATACTGATAGAATTAAAAAGGAGAGAACGATCCAACATGGGAAGTGGGATACACAGCAGACTCATAGAATGGCAGATATCCTAAACAGCACTCTGGCCTCAGAATCAGCCCTGAAGGCATTTGGATCTGAGTGAGGAGCCCATGAGAGTATTTCAGGCATGGAAAGCCAAGACACTGTGGCAAAAACAAACAAACAAACAAACAAACAAAAAAACCCACTAAATGAAAGATCTCTGTAAGTGAGATCCCAGTGGAAAGACTGGGCCATCAAAGAAGGAGGTACCTTTCTTTGAAGGGAGGAGAGAACTTCCACTTTGACTATGACTTTGTCTAAATAAGATCGAAGTCGCTGAACTCAAAAGGCTTCCATAGCCTTGGCAACTCATGACAAGAGCCTAGGGTGATTACTGACACCATAATCAAGAGTGTCAATTGTTAAATCAACAACAGGTGTCACTGTGCATTTACTCCTCATGTGGGATTTCTGTTCTTAATATGTTGTACTATGTGAATTAACGCTATCACTAGAACTCAAACAGTACTTTACACTTTGTGTTTCTGTGTGTGTGCGAACTGTTGAAATCTTTACTTAATATATACTAAATTGACCTTCTGTATATAAAGATAAACAAAAATGAATCTTGATGTGAATGGGATGGGAGAGGGAGTGGGAGATGAGATGGTTGTGGGTGGGATGGAGGTTTTGGGTGGGGCACTGTAATCCAAAAGCTGCACTTGGAAATTTATATTTATTAAATAAAATTTAAAAAAAAAACTACTCCAAAGCCAATTTGCCAGACTTAGGCTTGATTCCAAAAAAGTATGCCTTAATTGCCTTTAGAATTTGTCAATATTAAGTATCCCCATCTCTGTTTCCTCAAACTAGCTAGCATTGTATTTTTAAATCACTTATTTTTAAACATTTAAGATTCCTGATGTATTAAAAATGTATAGCTATATTTAAAAAAATCTATAATATATATGTATATTCATAAATGTGTATATTTTTAATATACAAACACATATAGATACCATATGTAGGTAATTTCAATATATATATAATCTGATATGCACATACATATAATATATTGAGCTTTTTATTTTTGTAGGTATTTTACTTATATGTATATATATATATGTGCTATGTATAAAGACAAACTTATTGTTGATATATTATATATCATGCTTAAATTATATAAACAAATGTTGAAAATTTTTTTTATAAAATAAGCAGTTAAGATTATTTGACTTCTCTCGCAGAGAAAATGTAGTAGATTCTTTGAAATGAAAATATATGACAACTACATTAGTCAATTTTAAAACAAATATCAAGTTGATTTTGAAATTTCTCTTTTAAAATATATCCTTTTTTCACTTTTAAAATTTTCACCCTACTTACCTATTTGCTTATTTTCATTGCATTTTAAAACTGAAAGCAAAAATGAAATATGATGAAGACCCTTACTCTTAAAATATTTCTACCATTTATTCTAGAAGCCAACTGACTTAACATTGGACTTGGGAAGTTATCTTGGGTGTTCTTTATGAAACTAGTTCACTAATCTTTGCTTTAGCTTCTCTTTCTCTATTAAACCACATCACAGCAGATCAGAACTGGGCAGGAACTTATGGAGGAGGTATTGGAAATATCCACCTATGAACTGGAGGTTGGTTTAACTACACTGTCAATCTGAAGGGATTATTGTGAGGCTCATGTATTATAATGTATGACATTGTCAACATAGTCCTGTAGACAAGGGAGGTGTCTATTGCTTACAAAATCACTTAATTGTAAGAAACAGAAGCTCATAGAATTTAGATGATCTAAGACCACAGTGTTCTCATCATTGCTCTGTGTGCCTTTCAAAACGGGATCATTGTATTCATTTTAGATAATTCAAGGAGGATAAGAAAAAGCTGATGAAAGAGTTGGGAAACTGGGCCTCAATGGAACTTGTACTTTCATGGCACACTGTCTGAGTTTGGCTGTGTCATGTTTTGCCTCCTTGGTGAACTGTGATTCCTTACTAAAGAGGAAGAGATTGGTAGGCACAGTTGGAGGGTTAGGTTTCCTACCTGTGAAAAATGCTTCTGCTAACATATTAAATGAAGTGAGAGGAAAGGAAAGACCTGGAATCTAGGTTACACCTGCACAAAGCTTTGTAATTCCTGAGTTGAATCATGCAGTATTAAACAAAGGCCGGCGGGGTCACTTCTTTACATAACAAAACAAATTAGATTTGACAAGATGAGTAAGATCTGGTCTTCCTTTGCAGATAAGGGTATCTGTATTAGATGGCATTTGGCTTTTGCTTTGGAAATTTCATGCCATTGCTAAATGTTCGGTGTTGTTCAGGAGGGAATATTGTATCTAGAGTAGAAAACAATATATTTTTTAAAAAATAAGCTACATGTCTATATACAAGCAAAAATAAAACCCAGCTTACTGGAACAGTAGACAGCAGAGTGCTTAAACTTGCAGATACTCTGTCCCCGGTTCTGAATGCCAGCTGATGCGTCCTGCTTCAGTGGTGTGTGACTCATCTTTCTGAGGGCCCTTGAGGTCTCTGTTGTTCAGAAAATGCAGCCCTGAAAGCTTTTGTATAGAACTGATGTCTTCTTCAAGCTCAAAGGCAGTTTCTCCTTGACCAGTTTTTCCTTGACATAACATACTTAAGAGCTTCATCATTTATCATGTACGCCTCCTCAGGTTTGAGTCATGCTATTGTCTTTTCTTTAACAATTGAAATATTTCAATCTGGACAGTCTATATGATATAGATTCCACAAAATGTTTCATGAGCTATGATATTTCACTTGTAATTGCTGAAGTCCTATGTATGCTTATTTTTATACAACTACTATGGTAATTATAAAACATTTTTTTGGAAAAAACACATGAAGTGGGTACTTTTCAGGATAGTCTAGATAATTTAAAATCAACTCTCAATATCTATAGTTGCAAAATATGTATTTGTTCCCTTTCAAGCTTCTTTATGCTGCTTTTCTTTATGAAGATTTGATATATTTTCCCATTGTGAAAATTCTTAAGTGTTTACTTCAAGCATATAATAGAGTTTATTTGTTAATTAGTACCATTAAACATTACTAATTGAATGACTGAATCAGTGAAATAATTTAGAGATTGTTGCTTTTGTCCATAACGTTTCCTGGTAGAATATTTTTGAGTTTTTATGAGCTTTTCCTCATAGAAATTTTAAAGGAAAAAAATTACACTGGGTATTGAAGGCAACCCTGAAGCAAATGGGTAAAAGAAACATGCTTGGTTGACACTTTCACAAACTTTATGGATCCATCAGATTAATAGACTTTCTAACCAGGCTCACAAAATTTCCAGAGAGGTAAGAAAATAAGCCTTTTGCTACCTGTGACACCAATTCTTTCTCTTGTTTCCCCATCACAGCCTATTCAAACTTACTACTGTCATCAAAGGCAATTGAAAACATTAGTCCATAAGTTGACATCACTAATTCAAAAATATGTTGCTGTAACAAGCTATCGCTTTAAAATATTGGTATTGAATTCTGTAGATCAGTGTTGGCAGTTAGTCTTCAACTTTGGTCTCCAGCCAGAGGCAATACCACCTTGCTATTATTGAATTATAAGTTCTAAATGATGGGAGCCATATTTATTTTTATGGTATCCCAAGTACCAAAGTTTAAGTATAGGCGTAGACTTGATGGATTATAAACACAAATGAGTAGCAGGTTTAGACCAGTACCCATTAAATCTGTCACACGTTTTGGGTAATATACATACTATATCTCTTGGACTTTTTGATCTCCTTAGCTCCATTCTTGAATTCACAAAATTATATGTGGCCTTGATTACCTGTATCTCTCAGAGATAATCACTTCAATCTTCCTCTACCTCTGAGCAGGGAGAACACAAACTCTTTCCTTCTTCTTCTGTCCTATATGCGAAAGTCATGTGGACCTTGTATCTTGCGAAATTCCCTCTTCATGGGTTGTAATAAAGTAAAGAAGTCAATCAATATAGAAAAAAATAATAGAAAACCCCAAGCAGTTAATCAGTTATATACAGTGTCTATACTGGATTATAACCAGATTTTGAGCTTCTGCCTGACAGAAGGACAGCCTGTAATTTAGCTACCCCTTTAATCGGGAGGCAAAAGGACCTTGGCTAAATACATGTCTCTGGCATGGTAGAACAAGAAAGATCTATCTTTAGGTAAGTAGTGTACTTTACTGGGATATGTTCTAGTCTAATGCCTTTTAATTTTTAATGTGCCAATGAATCACCCAGAGATTTGTTAAAATGCAGATTCTAATTCAATAGATCAAGAGTAGAGCCTGAGATGTAGTATTTCTATCCAGTTCTCATGGGATACTGCACAGCTAGCCTGCAGACCCCACCCTGTCTGAGTAGTAAAGTGCTAGATGGAAAGGTTAATCCATTTGTGTTGCAATTTAGTCTTTAGCAAATGTAGATTACACGAGCATCTGAACTTGAGGGAAAAGGTATCAGGGAGAGCAGAAAATAAGTTAATTAATATTCTAAAAGAGCCTTATGTGTGTAATCAGTAGTGCCCATTGCTTCACATGTTCTATTTTATAGACTTTTTTTTTTTTTTAACAGGCAGAGTGGACAGTAAGAGAGAGAGAGAGAGAGAGAGAAAGGTCTTCCTTTGCCGTTGGTTCACCCTCCAATGGCCGCCGCGGCCGGCCCGCTGTGGCCGGTGCACCGCGCTGATCCGATGGCAGGAGCCAGAAGCCAGGTGCTTATCCTGGTCTCCCATGGGGTGCAGGGCCCAAGCACTTGGGCCATCCTCCACTGCACTCCCGGGGCACAGCAGAGAGCTGGCCTGGAAGAGGGGCACCTGGGACAGAATCCGGTGCCCCAACCAGGACTAGAACCTGGTGTGCCGGCGCCACTAAGTGGAGGATTTGCCTATTGAGCCATGGTGCCGGCCTATTTTAGAGACTTTCTCAAAGGCACTTTGAGGCCTTATTTGAATTATGGGTTTGATTATGCAGAAACAAGCCTTAAGCAATAAATCTATGTGGTGTGATCCCTGAAAGGGCAAGCAGGTAAGTAATAAGATGTGCCATTATCCATCATTAAGAGACATAATCATGGATTAGAATTATAACCCTTTAGCAAAAGGTCTAGACAGGTTAAATGGCTTTTCCAAGGTCACACTGTCTACTGACAACATTGCAAAACTAAAATTTGTTTCCTTGATACTCTTCTCCTAGCAATATCATTAAGCTTCTTAAGAGTGCATTTTTTCACCAAATCCAGAGAAACACCAGTGTAAATTTTGGTATCTTGGCCATGAAATTCAGAGTCCTTTGACAAGTGGAGGACTTGTGTGTTTAGGTATGTGTGGGCATGTGTTTGTGTAGGAAGAGGGTGAATGTCTGAATGTGAATAGCTTTAGGACATGATTCTTGATCCTATATGGGTAGGATGTATATCTTGGTATTGGGAGAGTGGGGAGAGTGATGTTGTTAGTATCTGCAACAGATCATCAAGGATTTTTAGACTGGGTTTGAAGCATGTGGGAGGACATGAGAAAAGTGCAAGGCTAGCGTGAATGTGACTTGTTGTTTTATTGTAGTGTGTGGAAACTCTATGAGTTTGTGAGTTTGGCCACTAGGGTTAAATTTCCAACTTTACTAATGCTTAGAGATAGTTGGGTTTGGTGGATACTGTTAAGGGTTTATAGGAAAGTGCCAATGACGTTAAACTAAGTCTAGTCTTCTTTTGCCTTGAATTGGTTTCTCTGTCTATGAAATACTATTAGGTAAGACTAAGATAAGGTACAGGAACAAAGGACTAAGGAAAGAGACAATATATACAGTATAAGAATCAGAACAACCATATGAAGACTAAATAAGTGATAGTGACTGAAGAAGACACAGAGAATTCTGGTAGACCAAGCCTAAGAGACAAAATCTAAGAAAAGAACGTATAGAAAATCTGGAAGAATAGAGGAAATAGGACAAAAGTCATTGTCTAATTGTCAAATATCAGACCCAGAAATCAGATATGAACTAGGAGCATAAAATCTGTTATAATACCCAAAATTTGTGCCTGACAGCAAGAGGGACCAAGCAGCCATTTTTCTAGCAGAGAAAGTCTCCCATACTATGAAATATTCCTAGTCAGATTTCCTCTCTTCTTTATTTCTGCATCCTGACACAAACTTAGTCACTAAAGTTTTATGTTGCTTTTAGAGGCTCATAGGCCTTGAGTTCTGGAATTGCATTAATTTGTTTCTCATAAAGTAGTATAAGAGAAGGAGAAAGTGGAGAAGTAGGAACAGAAGGAAAGGAAACGGAATAGGAAGACAAATGGAAAAGAGAGACAAAACATCTGCACATGTTAGGATCATGGCCCAAACATGAGGCCTCTCTCTTATTATAGGTGACTGTAGAAATTGATATCTCTATGGCTTTTTTCTTTTGCTACTTTCACCAGAGGAATATCACTCTTGTATGTATACTCAGCTGCATGACTTCAAGCATCATTGGATGTTACTTGCTCATTTTTTCTCTTGAGTGAAATCAAAGTTTCTTAAGTAGAAGATATTTCCCAGGCTAGGGAAGACAGAGACTTTTCTCATCTGTATTTCCCTGGTTGACATGTACATAAAAGACAATTGGGAAAAATTTTGATTGAAAAATGTATTGCAGAGAGACACTTATTCAAGATTCAAAATCTATTAGGTGCTTCACACATAGAGTAGAAAAAAATAGATGTACTCTTGGAAGCTTAACTTGTAAGCATCAGCATTGACTGAGGAGAACTGATTTAGTTTTCTTAAAGGCAATTGGATTGAGAAGAATGATTATAGAAAAATGAAAAATGCTTAAACAGAAAGAATGTCACAGCTTTTTTTTTAAAAAAAATTGGATTCTTGCTTGGGATGTTTGTAGAAGCATATCCATCATTTTGTGACATTTTACAGTGTAACAAGGTTTTAGTTTTTGTGAAATATCATTTTGAAATTGCCCCCAAAATAGAACCCTCTTTATCTCTCCTTTTATGTCAAATCAACATTGAGTACAACTTTATGACTCTTGAGTTACTGATGTATTTATTAGCTAAAACTTTTTTGACTGCAAGTTACAGAAATAAGTTAGAGAATAAAAAGAGGCTTTAGTATAAAAGGAAAGAGGAGGGTCCTTAGGAACCTCTGGCAGGAAATCCAACCACGCTCCATGAAGTTTATGAGACTGACTGAGGGAGGCCCTTAGATGCCTCTCTTCCCCGGGCTGCTTCTCCACGCGCTTTGCTCTAGCCATCTTGATTTCAGTAGGTCTGTTTTTTAGATCAAGTATAGCTTTTCCATAGCTCCCACACTGCATATTATAATTTAAATCTCCCAGTAAATCTAGAGCAGTTTAAATATTTGTTTCACATTTTGTGGGAGGCGATCTACTGTCTGGCCATCTTCCATCCCTTTAGGTCAGAGGGTCATTCCTGGTTCATCATTCGTGATATGAACAGGGCCCTGAAGGCCTGGTTCTGTGGCTTTGGAGGAATAGGGGCAGTTTCCAGAATAAGAAAGTCGTGATGGCCTTGGTGCATGTGCCAAAGTCAGTGATCCTACCATGCCCAGCATGCTGCCTGGCACAGAGGTGGTACTCAATACATTTTTATTAAATGAAATACGTGTTGGCCAAACACACAGGCAAAGACAGAACATGTTTGGTTAAATGAATGAAATCATTGCATTTTTGAATGTTATGAAAACAGGTCTTTATGCATTGGTTGCTGTAAAAACTAACCTCACTCAGTTAAAATCATTTGCTCTCTGGAGCTGTTTTTATGTATATATAAAATCATTTTAAAATTTAAAAAATCATACATTTTTGTGAGAACAACACTTGAATGCCGGAACAATAGATATATTTATTTGTTTTAGTATGTTTATTTCCTTATTTAAAATTTTTATTTCATGTTCATGAAGACTAAGCCTGGAGTAATTCGTCCAGTACCTGTGAAATCCAAAATATTACTGAAAAAAGAGGAGGAAATCTGTGAACCCAACCCTTTCAGTAAATACCTAGAGGATAACAGTGATTTGTTCTTTGAGCAGGTGAGTATTCATATGAGATAATATTTAATATTTTGATAAAGAAATGGTGCTTCATAAAGCACCATTGACTTTAAAATACAAGAATAAAAATTAAAATAAAGAAGCTTCTACTAATATACTCTGTAAAAATGTTCATTTGATTACAGTATCCTAAATAATCAAAATAATCTTTGCATAATAAATAAGAATTTGTATGTAATTCTAGGAATGATACTTTGAGGCCTTGTAGTTTCTCTTTTTCTGAAAATTTTCTACCTGGTTGGTATTATTTGGGGACTGAGAGGTTACTCTATAGACATGAAATCCTTGCTTGAAAGGGTTATGTAGGTATTGCATTTTTGTATCAAACTCTTGCTTCCTTTTGAAGAGGTACATCTTTTATTTGCCATTTTAATTACAGTTAACAAAAGTCCTAATGTTTGGATTCATATTAACATAGTAGAAATGATGCAATTCCCTAGATTGAGCTATATTAGTTGTTGGATATGGGCAATTTTAAGAGGATTTGTTGCTTATATTATTTTTGTTTGAAAAATGTAGACCATTTTTCTCTTATATTTTTAAGTCAGTGGTGCTTCGTAAGATATTTGGGAAAAATATGAAAGTTCATATTTATGTGACAGAAAAATTGATAACTGTTATGAAAGAGAAACATCTTTATTTGTCTTGCTAAAAGGAAGCAAATAGGAATGTGCTGTATATTTTGTGTGTTAAACATTACTAAATAGCTAAGCAATATAAAAAAACTAGAAAACTTTCTGGGTACTACAGTACATGTAAGATTTACATTTACACGCTATAATAAAATAGATTCATAAAGGCATAAAAAGGGGCGTTCTTCCTTTTTAAGTTTCAGTTTTAAAATGGTACTTAATACTTTTCTTGAAAATATAAATGACATGCATATTTGTGAAATAGCAAGACATAGCTTTTCTGCTTCATATTAGCTCTATGACTCTTGGGAGGTTGTTTCATTTATCAAGGCATTAGTTTCTTAATGTTTCAAATGATCTGTTCATATCAGGTATTTTTTTAAGAATCCTTTAGATTCTAAAATCTACAATTAACCCTGATTATATCTGAAATATCCATGTTAACCTTGAAAACATAAATGAAAAATACTTTCTCATGATTAACTATGGTTTTCATTGTGAATGGGAGATAAAATATTTTCAGTTATTTATATAAATTTTATTTGGAAAGTTTGGATTTTTGTAGATGCTAATTCTTAAAGTGATAATTAAAAGATATTATTTTAATTTTGTGGAATAGACACAGTCCTCAAATTAAGTAGAAATACCTTACTGACCTATAAGGCTGTCTTCACTGACTACACATAACAGACATGGAAATTCCTGTGAGGAAAGTGTATTTTCATCATTGACTAAAATGCTTATCTCTGTTACCTGCATGACCCTAATATTACAGAGGTTTAATGTAAACTTTTAGCAAGTATGTGATTGTTGTAAAATGCGTATAAAAATAACCTAGTGTTTTTATTAAAAGCAAAGTGCCAACAGTTAAAATGAATTTCATGTGTTTTTCAGGTAACATGTTCTTCAAAATATGAACCAGTGTTATAAATAATGTATTTGTTTGTATTAGTAAAATTTTAAACTTGTGCATTTTACTTTAAGCAATATTCCTTATAGAATAATAAGTTAATCTACCTACAATTTATCACAATTTACTGCCTTCTGACATGATAAATTCCATTTCTATGCACAGGAAGTTCTTGTCATTAAGGAATTGCCATTTATTTTCATTGCTTTCCCTGACTATATAGTAAATTTAAAACTCTGTTTATATTACAATATAGGTCTGTTTTTCCTAGATGAATTGTCAAAACCTTGATTTTGTAACTATTTAGGTGCCAGGATCCTAATCTTATTTATATTTTCTTTTAACCAATTTACTCTTGCTGGTATTCCCACTCAAAGGTGAAACATGGGAAATAATAGGTGACTGCAGAGTATTAGAATTGAAAGAAATCTCACACCTACTGAAAAGTGAATTCCAGACTTCCCCTGGTTTTATTCATTGCTCTCGCATGAGAGGGAAAACTATGAGAGAGTCTCTGGGTCACTGCATATCCAGAAAACTGTTTCTTCTATCAACTAACCCCTTTGTATTGAGCATTAACTACTGTCGCATTGTGTCTAGAATTTACAATGAAAGCAGAAATGAAAGGCAACTCACAAGTGCAGATGCTTAGATATACTCAGAACATAAATTGAGTAATAACGATTTATAATCTCAGCATTGCTACTTCATCAGAACTTCAATAGAAGGAAGCATACTCAAATTTAGTTCTAGTCATTATTGTGCTCTCATACACTGCTGCCACAGAATAAATTGAATAGTTCCAAATGTAGCTGATCTCACCCACCCATGTAATGGAAAATTCTTTAGCTAGGCGGTTGGGCCAAATTGAAGCAGCTCACATTCTCTAATCTGCCTTGTACTGGGGACAGTTCCACATGACAGGAAACGTTGGATGGGATTGTTAAGCCAATACATTTTCCCTAGCAACTTCACTGCCATAAAATACGATTTTAAAATTTTCTGTTATGAAATGTCAGATGCTAAGGATGATGAGGCTAGACAGAAATGCATTTATTGAACTCAAAAAGGTAGTGCTGAGCAGTCTTTTGAACTGATCATGAACTGAAAATTTGCCTGGAAACAGCCTCTGATCTCTAAAAGCAATCTTTGAAACCAAATGCATAATCAAACAATTGAGACTTATTAATCAACAACTTTCACACTGAAATAATATAGACCAAGAAGCATCATTCTATATTAGATGAATTTTTTTACAAAAGTCTTCAAAATGAAGTTTATGCTTTTTGTGATACTATTTTCAAATCTGTCATTGTCTTAATTTTGGGTCCTTTTGATTTTTTACAAAATACCCTCACATCCCATCCTAAATCTATGGATTTAAAGCTATGGCAATGTGCTTTGAAGCATATTTCTATTGATAATTGAAGGTGGAGTTAGAAAATAATTAACAAAATTGATTGGAAAATTGGACATCAAGATAGATATGAAGGTTTAGAAAATCAATTTGCTAGTGATAATGAAGATGCTAAATAAGAAGACTGATTGTTTTTAGTTTATTCAGACTACTTGTAAGCTTGCAAAATATACTGATTGCTTTCTGATCATTTAATGTCTTTAATAAAATAATTCCATCACTAAAGATTTTAACATAAAAATCAATAGCTAACCTCAGTTATGTAAAGTGATATGTAAAATATTATCTTTATAATTAGCAATTCAACCCATGATTTTAGATGTCTCATTGTATTCTTAAAGCCCTGGAAAAATATATAGAAAGGGTGTTGGTTAGAATTTAAGGGAGAATATTGTTGTTTCATTTGAATTTCTCAGAAATATGTTCCCTTTTGGTCTTTATGAGAAATAACACTTCACAGCATGTATGCCTTTCAATTTTATTTTCCTTTAATCTGTTTCAGTGAGGAAAAGAGCATATATTTGTGTGAAATGACCATTTAGAGAACTTCTCTCATACAACCTCAGAGAGGACATAAAAGGACAATTATAGAATATTTTTTCTCTGTAATATTTTCATTCCTTCTTTTCTCCTGGTTTTTCTTAGACATCTGATTTCCATTTCCTCCTTATCAAATCCTATTTATTTCACATTCAATTTTGATGATTATGTGAGTAACTTCTAGATTTCTAGCTAATGATTCATCAAGTTATATTTCAACAATAACCTTCACATTGACTTCCCTATGATACCCACATATTAATATTACTGAGAAGATACCATTATCATAACTAAAACTGATAATACAGCTTTTTATTCTGAATGAGTCTGGCTTTGCCACAAATTACCACTTTTTACACATTTGTCTATCATCGAGATGGTTTATTCTCTTCTGTGAAAAAATAATGTTTCATCATTACATTTTATTAAAAAAAAGCTTTTGGTAAAATTTTAAGTGATTTTTTTACAGCTCAACATTATTAAGTGTCTTACTCGATTTAGAATATGAAGGTGAAATTCCTTGTGATAGTGTATTTGTTTTGGGAGGTAAAAAACAGGAATTTGGTTTCTCAAATTTTAACATGTTACTTTTATTTATTTTGTGATGTAATTTCTGTGAGGTTTGTCCTCCCTCCCTTCCTACCTTCCTTCCTTCCTTCATCTCTATATGTTAAGAAGCAATTTATCATGAATAAGATATATACTATATATAATAGATGTATCAACACAATGAACCAATTTCTTGGTTTTTAACTTTAAAAACTGTGTTTTAGAACAATAGTTGCTTTTTCCTTCATGTTATAATCAGATAGGCTCACTTCTTTAGACTTAAGATTTCGTCTTCTGCACTACTCTACTTTTCTTGACATTAACTTTCTGTTGTTCTTGGGTACACATCAAGGTTGGAAGAATGTAACTAAAGCATTGCAATTTTCTGTTGCAATTTTCTACAGAGGGACTTTTCTAGCCCCTCTTCATTTGCTTTAAGGAGAATAAGAATCTTAAAAGAGATTATTTGCTTTAAGAAAAGCAAAATTAAAAAAATATATCTATTCGGCACCACTTGCATTATAATGGAATGTGAAATATTTGTTGCTTAACAAATAGTTGACTGATATGTAATGTCTAACAAAATCCAAATATTTTTGAGAATAATGACAAATTGAAGTTTTTATGCAAATATATCCTTATCCATGACATTAGCCTGTCATGTCCCTACATATGTTTAAGGTGGATTAGCCAGTGCCATCATTAGACCTTCTCATGGAAAATAGACTCCAGTTTAGAAATAAAGTCTTGTGTTGGGGCTGGCACTGTGGTGTAGTGTGCTAAGCTTCTACCTACAATGCCAGCATCTCATACGTGTGCTGGTTCTAGTCCTAGCTGCTTCTTTTCTGATCCAGCTCTCTGCTTATGGCCTGGGAAGGCAGTAGAAGATGGCCCAAGTACTTGGGCCCCTGCATCAGTGTGGGAGATCTGG